GTACAAATGTATGAACTCATTTATGTATGTTTCAAGCATTTTTACTAAATAGATGAATTTATGCCTTTGTAAGTTTGTATAAATCTCTGAATATTTTAAAAGAACAATTGGAATTTATTTATGAAGATGTAATATTTCTTAGTTTTTAAAAAAATTTAAAGCAAGTTCACAAAAATGACTATCACAACTAAAATATCAACTATTTGAGCACTTAGTACAGTGCATATTATGCACAAAGAGCACAATCTTGTTATTTTCCAAACATTTCAACCTGCAATCAGGTGGGCGTTAAACGGGAAATTAAAACCGAAACTACCGGTTTTTTGCGTATAGTTTTTCGGTGCTGAAAAAAGTACCGGAAGAACCGAATTTTTCGGTTAACCGCACAGCTCTAATATCTATCGCCAAAAAAGATCCATGGATCTGGAGAAATTTTGTCCATAATAAAATAAAATAACAACAATTTACATTAGCCTAGTAATCTATGTCACTATTATTGTAGGGATCCATAATAAAATAAATACCGTAAACCTCCAACTATAAGCCCCCCCCCCCGTGTATAAGCCCACCACATCTACTAACGCTCACCTCATTCCAAATCTAAGCCCTCCCCCCCGAATATAAGCCCACTTGTTTATCACTATTATTTATCAATATTAATCAGTATTTTTGCTGTGCTGGTTTAACACTAAGTCTTGTTTATCACTATTACACTAACACAAAAGGTCATCCATGTATAACCCCCCCCCCCGTATATAAGCCCACCCTTGTATAAGCCCGTCAAAAATCGCTTACGAAAGTATATAAGCCCAGGGCTTATAGTCGGTGGTTTACGGTATGTAGGGATACATAATAAAATAACAACAATTTACAATATACTTCTTGTGTGTGTTGGTGTTATTTACTCAGGTGAATACGTTTGTGATGTTACTCAGAGTATGCATCCACACCGAGTTGAGCTCAGTTGGTTGAGCATTGGACTAATATCCCAAAAATTGCAGGTTCGATTCCCACCATGTCAGGCAAACGTTTGAGCTTGCCCGGTGTGGATGCACACTCAGAATAACATCACAAACATCAATTTACAATATTCTAGTAACTAGTCATTGTTATAATTGTTTCTTGGATCATCTCTGTCCCTATGTCCCATGGTCCACTTTTTCCAATCAGCAATGCTGCACTGTAGAGTAATACCCACCAAGCACACAGAATTTATTGGTTGTAGATCACAGTTATATCCAGTTTGCCCTTGTAAATTTATTAGTGACAGCACACTGTCCAAATCTTCATCAACAGTATCTGGACCTCGAGGTTGAATTGTTTGAGAAGGTGGCAATGGCAGAATATCGAAATCCCACAAAATAACATTCCCAAAGATAAAAGATTGTCCTGTTCCATCTCGTCTTAGATCACTGAGGTCAGAGAACTGCAATATATAAAAAACAATCCTCTGTTTAACCCTTTAAGTGCCAGCGTTAGACAGAGTAAAATATTAAAGTAGGGCACATGAGGGCACAATGTGACTCAATGGGTTAACTAGGCACATGCCATTAGACAGAGTAAAATAATCTGGCGTTATAGACAGAGTAAAATAATAAAGTAGGGTTAATTACTTTAATAGTCCGTATAAAATACCAAAGTAATCAAACCTCTATGATCAAACCAAATGAACAGTCTTGGCTTCTCTAACTTAAACTATATTTTAGCTCTATATGCATATATTCAAAATAAAAAGCACAAATATTGTTACCAACATTGGCTATAAAAATGTGAATCATAGAAAAAGCAAAAACCATTGCGTAGATACATTGCCTTTGTATTGGCTTTAAGGATTAAAACAAACGACTTACCCTAAAAACACAACTGGAATGTATCTCTATACTCTATCAATGCTGGGCTATTTGCAATCGGCGAAGATTTCATCAACTTTTAGAGACAAACATAGCGATTCTTCTGATGTGAATCTCACGGCATTGAAACTGAACATACGATAACCCATAGGAACCAACAGCATAGGCTCTCACGATACACAATGAACAAAAAGAAGACCGTGTCCTTCCAAAACTGAAGCTTTATGGCGGTGAATCGGCTAATACAAAATCCGCCATATTTCTCACTCTTGTTGTTTTGATAGTGAAGGTCAAGCCACAGAGTATACAGAGGCGGAACTCGCGGCGATTCCTTTGTTCTTTGTGTCCCCGTGCAACGTCATTTCCACGCGCCACGCAAATTGCTCTGGCAAGTGTCATTCGTCGTGTTTTCAGTCAAAAGCATAGGAAAAACACCGTTCGAAAGTAGAAAAATAGATATTTTTGCGAAGTTGCTCAACCGATCTTCATTTTGGAACTCAAATTTGAAAGATAAATGGTAAGTGGTTATTTTTATGTAAAAATATATACGTTTATAGGCTAAATACAAAGAAAAAATAGTATAATACAAATTACAATCTCGGTGCTTGTGATGTTCTTGCCAAGAAGCAGATTCCCTCGCAGATTCCCATTTCGCTAAATTAATGCGGGCCAAACGTATTGCTTTCCTGTCTTTTACATTAATAAGAAAGCATAGGTGCTGATTTGAAACACGTCCATCAGGTTCCATGCATGTAGCTTTGCGATTTGTGAGCAAAAATTAAAAGTTAAACTACCTATGTTTTTAATACTTTCTGTGCAACTCAAAACCACATTCACAAATATATTCTCCAGCAAAGAAACGTTTCTTTACGGATTGTTAATCCGCATTTGAAGGCATGCTTATGCCTTCAAAGGTCAGAGGTCTTTCACATGCAGAATAGCAGAGACTACTGTCATTGACATCCTTTGTCACAAAATTATGATGGCATATTGGACAGCTATGTTGGATAAGGCACTTCCTTAATAAATAGCCTGACACATAAGTTCATGCAGACTAAGTTTTGTTCATTTGTTTTGTAGTCGGTATCTTCAACTGCTTGGATTAGTGGTGGGCTTGTCTGATCATTTCCTGCAGATAAATCAGATTGGCTAGAGTGAAATGCAATCAAATAGTGTAAATACTACAACAGTGAAATGTAAATACAACAGTGTAATTGGGGTTTAAAAATACAAAGTTTA